TACTCCCTGTGGCTCCCTCTCCCTTGGACACGGTTGGTCCCCCGATTACCTGGCACATGTGCCTTCCTGGTTCTTACAAGACCATGCTGCAGTTATTTGGTTTGCATGTCTGTGTCCTCTGCTAGACTCTGTACTCTTCTGGGATGATCTCAGATTCATTCCCTTCTCTAGCCCCAATTTCTAGCACAGGGAAGCCACTCCATAATGTTGGTCACATTTGTTTTGAATATAATGAGTTTTTGTAGTTTCATGGAAAGAGAGTGGCCCATACTGGTGTTTACAGTTCATGATGGGGGAAGGGGAGGCTGGTGGAAGTAGCAAATGAGCAAGGTGAAGCGATCTTAAGGCCTTCAAGGGTCCAGCCCCACTGTTCCCCGGAGCCCGATCGGAGCTCCTCCTCCCTGTCTGGGGCTGAGTTCTGCTCCCAAGGGCATCCAGTTGCAAGGGAAAAACATGTCTACGGAGCAAGGAGGCAAGAACACACTCACTTTTATCTGTGTTTTCAAACAGACTTATGTATCTTGCCCTTTTAAGGTGGACATTGGGATTTTTTTTTTTTTAATGTCAGCAGTAGGTGGCAAAGGAGGACAGTTTTTTTTTGTTTTTGTTTTTTTGTCATTCAGGTAGACACTTCCTTGTCTCCACTCTTCCTATTAGGGAAAAGAAAAAATACCTGGGGATGGAGTTATTGGAAATCAGTTCCTGTAGCGCCTTTCACTTTGGCCCAGTTATTTTGCCCACAGCTTCCAGAGCCCGGCAGGATGGACACGAGGCAAGCCCCCAGGTGCATCTCAAAACTGTCTCACAGCCCCCGCAGGGCTGTGTGGGGCAGGCCTAGGTGCGCATTCACGGGTCAGCTTCCAAGATCAATGGTAAATTTCCAACTCAATGGTAGAACATATTTAACTATGTCACAAGGATGTAATCCTTGAGACGATGACAAGCTCTTCAGGACAAATGACCAGTTTCTTCAGTCAATGAAGGCAAGGAAAACAGAAGAAGGGGGTCCTTATAGTCGTAAAGATTTAAGATACATACCAACCACTTAGTATATGGATCTTATCTGGATCCTTGGTTGGACAAATTATTTAAAAAATCATAAGACAGTTGAGAGTATTTGAATACTGATTGGTTATTTGATGATGTTAAGGAATTATTGTTAATATGTTGGGGTGTAAAATGGTATCTTGAATGTTTTCTTTTAGAGATGTATTCTGAAATATTGATGAGCGAAATTATGATACCTGAGATTTGCTTCAAAATAATGAGAGTGTGGTTAAGAAAAGGATGGGGTATGGGAGAGGAGTTAATGGTAAGTGATATGTAACCAAGTCGCTCTATTTTACACATACAGGGTATTTTTCCATAATATAAAAAATTTAAAATGTTTAATTAAATGTGATAGCACAAATACATGTATTTTTTTATCTGTTTTCCTAGGGCTCACTGTAATGACCTTGGAATCCATACTGAATGTGTTGGATGGAAAGCAAATGTTGAATGGGTGTGTTTCAGAGGTGAACAGAAACTATTCACGGGTTAAGGGAAGCCCTGCTGCTCCCTAAAGACAGGTAAGACTTCTATAATTTAGCCACGTCTTTTTACCAAAGAGCCAGAACTTGAAGGGTTAAAATGATGACCAGTACCATCTCTTTTGGCCTCCTTTCCCTGCCCCTGGAGAATGATATCCCTGGCTGTTAACTCCACTGAGGGAAATAGGAACCACAGCCAGGAGGGGTTCTATTCAATCAAATTTAGTGCCTGGTGCTTGGAGTAGTGCTTCTAGCACATTGTCATTCATGTTCATTGAGCCATTTAGGCCTCTCTCTCAGCGGAGACTCAGAGAGGTGTAATACCTTTTTTATTGCTTATGGCCAATAAATGGTAGAAGTGGTCTCATACCCAAGTCCTCTGGTCTCAGGCCCGGGCTTGTTTCCACTCTACAATATCACCTGTCAGGGTTCCTCTCCATAGAGACGCACTATGTGCCAGTCCAGGGTTGCAAGTAGTGATAGTTGTTACGTGGTTAATGTTGTGCTGGATGTTTTACATGCACTAGTTTATTTAACCCTCTTAACGATCTCCTAAGGTAGATCCTATCTTTATTCCCATGTTACAGACAGGAAGTGAGAGACCAAGATTTAAACCCAAGTGTGTCTGTCCTCAAACCTTCAACTCTATTTTTTTATGCTACTTCTCCACTTCTCCCTACTCAGCTGATGCAGGTGTTGGATGAAAAGTTTTCTTTCAGAATTTATCCAAATAAAAGCCTGGAAATGACAAATAAGAAGGCGTATGCCATCAGTGCCCTGAAAGAATGTCTTAGCTCTGCAGTGTGGAACAGTTTAATTTTTAGTTACAGCATTGACATATCATTTAAGGCGTGCCAGGCCATTGCCAACTACTTTACAGACGTTAATTCATCAAATATTCACCAAGGTGAGGCAGTTGGGTGCTGTTGTTATTATTACATCTTACCAAGCGGGAAACTGAGGCACTTGCCAACACAACAGAGCTAGTAAAATACAGAGCTGTGTTCAACCCAGGCAGCCTTGCTCCTGAGTCCGTATTTTTGGTTATATTGCCTACACCCCTGGGCCCTGTACTCACACGTGACCTGTCCTAGAATATGACAATAAAGGAGTTGTGTTGACTTTCATTCCGGTTTCTTAACTCCAAACACTAAAGACAAAAGTGCCTACTATTGGCCAGAGTAGTAACTGCAAGGTAGTCACCAGTTCTCCCTCACAAACTGTAAGCACGATTGTGTGAAATCACTCTATTCACTTAAGTCAGAAATGGGTTTTGAGGACTGATTATACTTTTTTGAGAGCTGAACTAATAAGTGAGAAAATATCTATTTTAATGGGAGAAATCACTTATAGTACTTGGCACATAAAAGAGCTCAATAAAAAAAATTAAACAAGCTCAATATACAGTAGCTATTAACATCCTTACGAATCTTCCTGATTTGCCTGCTTCTCCCATCCCACCTTGGCGCCACAGCCCAGGCGTGTGTCCTCTCTGCTGCAGGGCACTCTCGCCGGCCTTCGCTGCTCAGCCAGTCTCCACACCGCACATCTTCGCCTGCTCTCCTCAGGTGAGTCCGTAGTAACGTGCTCTAGCCTTCTCCCGGAGAGCATTATCCTTCCTGGCCCTGCTGAACCAAGGCATGGCCACAGACCTGCTCTCAGCGGAAGAGGTGTGCATCCATTCAGACGGGACTGATAAAGGTCACCGTGCTCCCGTGTTCCCCGTCCAGGGGAAGCTGCTTCCATTTCACCCTGGGTTCAGAATGAGGAGATTCTGTATGAAGGCCCCAGGCAACCCTTTACTGACACACAACATAAGACCTAAACGTTTATGGTTGGAAGCTGCTAAGATTTTAGGCTTGTTTGTGTCACGGCATAGATCTAGCCTCATCTGACTGATAACATGCTTCATGATGCTCTTAGGACTAGGATAAAAGTCCCTAAGACACTGCAAGGCCTTGCAATACCTGCACTTAAATGTAAGCTTCATTTTGAATCCTATTTCCTCTCCTTTTCTCCTCTTCATACAGGCTTCTTTTGGTCCCTCATAGGTGGCAGGCTCCGTTTTGCTACAGGCTCTTTGTTTAGGCTGTTCCCTCTGCCCAGAACATTCCCCCCCACCCGCCCCCACGCCCCTCTGTCCCTGGGTGCCTGGTTAATTTCTAGGTGTCCTCTTGCACGCCCTAGGTTTCATGGCAATGTGCAACCTTTAGAACACTCATCACAACTCCATGCTTTCCTCTGCTGCTGTGTTTATTTCAAAAATGCTCTTTTGCCCACTCGACTGTACAGTTCACAAGAATTGTTTGCCAGTCTTTATTTACTCACTATCCCTAGCTCTTGGCATACTTTTTGGCACAAAACAGGGACTCAAAAATACTTATTAAATAAATGAGCCAACACACTGTAGTGATTATTGGATGGAATTTAGAGCCAGACTTCTTAGAATCCCACCTGTCATTTATTTGTTGTATGATCTTGGGTAAATTATTAAATCTCTGCCTTAGTTTCCTCATCTCATAGGGTGATTGTGGAGATTAAATGGATTAAGATATATGTGCTGTTTACTTATTGTCTCTGGTTTCCAAGCCGTCCTTCAATACCCTGTTCTATGGGGTATTTTTCTAGTATTTTTCTCGCCACCTTTTCCAGACTTCCTTGCGATGGCTGCAGTTAGATCTAGCCAGCTAGAGACCTGGCAGGAGCCTGGTTGTGGGCAGGCGCAGAGGAGGGAACGGGGAGAAGGGACTTCTCTCCAGTGTCAGTTCCTGTCTGCAGTGTGGAGGCTGCAGAGGGCAGATGCGACAGTTTCCAGCTCCTTGCAACCCTCCCAGCACCCATCATGCCTGTCTCCTCAGTGTTAAGCCTGTTGGATATATCCCTCCCCTGGGTCCTAGCACCAGCCGCCCCACAGCCTCTCTGAGGTCTACACACCAGCTGTGTGGTGCCCCCCACCCTCATGGGGACCCCTCTCAGTAAACACCCAAGTACCAGTTGTGTGGAATAGCTCCTTGGAGCACCTAGGTTCTGGTACCCGAACTTTCCCTTTTGTTGCCCCCTGCTCCAGGGATGGTGGACGCATCCTACAGTTATTCATATCTGGGCTATTTTATAGCCCCCTCCTGGGAAACCTCCTAGATTCATCCCTGACACCTGGGTGGGTCTTAACTGATCGGGTATCTAAAGCACTTAGAACAATATCGGGTATGTACTAAGCACTATGTGAGTGTTAAGTAGTCTGTCTACTTACGTTTGTCTAAGTAGGAGGAAAAAAAAATTATTGCCCATTAGAACTCTGGGAAGGACACAGTGCGTCTGACATCCATCAAGGATAACACAAATTCCATGGTGCAGAAAGACAGGTGCAGAAAGACCGTCTTCCGGGGGAACCTCCGATCCAGGCCCATAACCGTTGCTCAAATACAACCACCCAGGCATGATTTAAAGCAAATGATGACACAGCTTCCATAGCATTAGCAATTTTTTATTTTTCCTTTTTTGTTGCATAGGAAATGCAGTACTTGCTTCCAGTAATTGTATTGTAATGTGAGAAGGTGGTAGCACTAATGGTTGAATACAAGAGTTAAACTAATCCACACCAGCTCAAAAACCTGTGGAGATTTAGTTGAATAAGAATGGACGCCCACAGTGATTCTCAACCAATTACAAATTTTCACAGAACACAGTAAAACTAAAAGGCTAACTATGAGAGTCAATACAAGTAATCTAGAGGCACAGGGGGCCCGGCTCATAAAAACAGATGTCAAACCAAGTTATTAACACGGGGGTGTTTAGTTTCACAACAGATCTCTTATCATTGGAAGTGTTCAATCCCCTCCCCACCAAATTTGAAATGTAAAACCGAGGTATCTTGAATGGACAGATATCCAAGGGTGGTGGGGAAAGTCCCCGGGGAGGGGAGTGTGTTTGCCTTTGAAAATCTTCTTTAAGGAACTGATGAGCTCTGGCTCCGGGTCTAGTGAGCCTCTTAGTGGTGACACTACCAAATGCCTCCTCAGGGCAGAGAGGCTGCTCTGGGACCGGGGGAAAGACTGCAGCTGGCGGCTCTCTCAAACCGCTGTCCCCAAGTAGCCAGTGACCTTGAGACCGTGGGTTGAAACGTTAAAAAAAAAGTGCTAATTTTTTGACTACTACTAAAATAATAATAAAAATAAAATATAACAAATAGAATCAGAGGGAGAAAAGGCTTCTGTCATTTTGAGAAACTGAGCATCAACACACCAGGAAAAACAGCCCCTTTTGTTGGACATTATCTGTCCTTAGAACAATTACGGAGCTACAAAAGTCCACATGGTACAATGCGGTGACTGTTTTCCACTAGGAAGGTGCTCCAGTTGGATTAGAGGTGGCATTTCAACCACATACTCCTGAGGTCCAGACACATTTTGGAAATTATGTCTTTTGAATTAAACAGCGTACGGAGCCTGCATGCGAGACTTGTGATGCCAGGCTCACAGGCGGGTCCTGCGCCCACACGCTGCCGCTCCCTGTGCTCACGTTCAACCGCAGGTGGTCGCCCTTATCTTTCTGACCATTTCTGGTATCTGGTCCCATCTCCCTGTCTCCCTAATCTGGTTATGTAACCCTTTGGGGCAGAAAACACAGACAGGTGCTGTTTTAGGGGGGAAAAAAAAAGAGGAAATTTAGTTAATTTGGAAAGTAGTTTCAAATTTAGACCAAAAAACTATATTTAAAAAATCCCGTGTTAATAGCAAATTTCTTTTTTCTATGAACCGGGCCCAAAGTTTGTACAGAGTTTTATTTTTGAAGAAAATATTGCAACTGTGCATGAAACTAAATAGCCAAGTGATTTCTTAAAGATTTTTTTTTCATTTTTTTTTTCTTTTCATATGAGGAAGTCTGGTGTGAAGATGGATCAAGCATGGGTACCTGGCTGAACATTGTCCATTAAGAAAACACTTCAGTATCAGCATAGCTCCAGTTGAGGGTCAAGAAAAATGTCCCTCTGTTGGAAATGTTCTCATAGTGTCTTTGCAGCAGAGTTCTTGAAATTCAAATGGTGGTTTTTAGACAAGAGTCTTGCCAGGGACTGATTTCTGAAATCAAACACCCATGCTTGTCCCCTAGGAAAGAAAAAGAAAACAAAAAACAAAAACGAAAACAAAAACACAAGTAATACTGAATTTAAGTAAATGTATACCTCCAAAATACTGAAAACAGTCGAAATCAAGAAAAGACAGAATTTGCGTTCTCAGTGAAATACCTTTAAACCTAGCTGACAAGAACCAAGTCAGAAAAAAAGACTAACATAACTTTGAGTAATATTCATACAGTTCACTAAGCATTATGGAATAGCATGCATTAATATTGTACGGTTATTTTACATCACCTATACCAGAAGGTCCTGACTGACAGACAGCGAAGGCTACCGGTGTAGAAAAATCTTACTTCAGAAGAGCAATATAATACAGATTTCACAGGCACTACATTTTAATATATCAGGTATTATGCTGGTTTTCTTATAATTCTTTCTGTCCTAAAGCTGGCATTATAACAATGACCAAAAAGGCAAGGATTGAAGTAAACGGAAAGTAGATACCAAAGTTGATATAGTTTTTTCTTCAGATAGATTAGTGCATAGTTCTCATGCAGATAAACACTGCTATGCATTTACACTGTTGGAAAGCAGAGTGAATTGAGCCCAAGTTGTCACATTTGTGTAAATCATTTTGTCAGCCTGTAATAGCACCATGTAATGGATTTGCATTAAACATTAAATTGATTTCAGAATTGGTGACACAGTATTCACTACAGTTAAGTGCTATGGAATAGCTTCAATGTTACCTGCTATATATCAAAGCAATTTTCATCCCACTGCTTTTTTATTGGAAAAAATGAAAGGAAAACATACACGACACTAATTAGACGAATGCACAGCCTTGGACGTGGAGAAGGCAGAGCGGGTTTACTGTCAGACAGTAAATACATGCATTGACTTCAGGACGAAATTGGCCTCGGAAGCCGATTTGAATGAAAGCTCTGCGGGTGGGCAGTGCAGCTTTCTGAGACCGTCCAAGGACGGGGTCTCGGAGGGTGGGTGGTGAGGTGCCACTGAAGCTCTCCTTACATTACCATGCCAGTGTGTGTTAAATTTGTTCTATGGAGGCCTGCTACCGGGAAAAACCAAAGGGGAAAAAAAAAAGAAGAAAGACTGAGATAGAGATAGAAAGAGAGAGAGAGAGAAAGGAACCAACACCACCACCACCACCACCACCACCATGGACAAAAAAGATATTTCCAGAGACGTGATACAAAGTACATTAAATGACATTCTTAGAAATCCCTCCCCCCCAAAAAAGAAAATCACAAGGAAGAAGTGTTTTTCTTAATCCAGATTTCATCAATACTTTATGACACTGTTACTATAGAATGCAAAGCATATGGGGACAAGGGGTCGAAAAGTGAAATACCAACTTGTGGAGATGGGTTTTGCATATTCCCGTGGCTGACTGAACGCCATGGCTCTGGGAAGTTTGCGTTCCTTTCCACTTGAACTGTCAGAGAGGGGAGGGTACAAGTGTGGGCAAGTGCACCTGAGGCTGGCCCAGCAGCCCACACCTGACTGAGGGGCGGGGCGGGGGGAAGCTGACACTGACTAACTAACTGTTCAGGCCAGGGTGTGAGGAAACAGAAGAGTTCGAACCTCACAGGGAAGAGAAGGGCTCTGGGATGAATAGAGTGGCCTTAGGGAGAGGGCCTCTTGCTGATGAGAAAAGGAGCATTTTAGTGGTGGGGAATGGGCCAGAAATAAAAAGTATTTAGGAAAATGGTAAGATTTAGTGTTTGTGCCTCTGACTTCAGATACCAAAGAAAAAAACACGGAGGTTCACTTGAGGAACTTAATTTTGCCAATATTTTTAATGCCATTTGATGGAAGAGAAAAAATTCAAATGCGTCTAAGAATCAAGGGCTGGGCCTTCAAACGCTGATAGCCCTCAGCCTGTCAGTCTGCACACCCCAGGTCCCATAGTCTTCCTCAAACTTCTTCGCTCGGCTTCTAACCTAGAAAGGTGAACACTCGGATCGTTGGTGTTTCTTTTTTTTCCTGCTTGATCACCACTGAACTACAGTTTCCTGCTGCTTTCTGGACAATGAAACATGAACAAAAATGTAACTTAGTGTATTTAATATTTAACCCCTGTTCATTATCACCCTAGACTGCCTCCCTAATGTTTTAAAGCCTTTAAAACATTTTTTTTCCTGCAAATCTGTTCAGAGTTCCCTAATTTTAGCTTCATCAAACTTAATACAACAAAATACCTTCAAAAATACAGCATACCTGTAACGTCCATTTACAATGGTTTTTCAGTAGACCTATACTTCTCAAGCATAGGAATATGCTATACCATTGAGAGAAAAAATAACTGTATTTAAATACTTACAAAAAAAAGGAAACAGGAAAGTTTTAAACTTAAATCCAGTTCCCAAGGGGGGGGGGCAGGAAAGAAAGAAAAGCAATTCTATGAACGCTGCCTTTATAAAGAACAATTGGAAGTTTCACTAGGCTAATTTGACAGAAATTTTCCTCATTTAAACAACATTACAAAAGTCCTGCATTATAAAATAGGGTAGAATAAATCAGTGTAATCAATAAAACTATACAACAATACAAATTACATATCTTCTGAGTGGGCAGTTTATTCTCTCTCTTTGCAGTCATGACTACAACATGCTCACTAAAAACAACTAAAACTGCCCAAACTATTGCTTAGTTTGTTTTGTTTTAAAAAAAGGGTGCAATTTTATTGTATATACAACCAATTTACTGGTAATACCTTGGCTTATCGCAAGGTTCTGACAAAATGTTTGTCTAGGCTTTTTCCCTTCACTGTGAAGCACTGAAAGCTGCTATTTTTTTCTTTTTTTTTCCTTTTTTCTTTTTTTTTAGTGCACATATGTCATAATAAAGTAATGCCCAGCTAAGTGCTATAGGGGAAGGCAAAGTATGCTGGCTGGCTATAGGAAGTGACACCGTATACTGACAATCACACCATACAAGAGCGCCAAACGACTATTCAACCACTTATCAGACACATATGAAAATCCAAAATGTTTTATTTTATTTTTTTTTCCTTAAATAGAGATAACCAGTAAACAATTTTCAGAACTTGGAAGTTTAAAAACGTGCATATAAAAATGGGCATTATATACTTTTTATTGAATGTGGATTGACTGCAGTCTGCTAAGAAAAATGGGGTGTGGGAGCTGAAGAAAAAGGAAGTTGTCTTTTTTTTTTTAAGGCTTGCTTGTGAAAGGAACAGTTGTAAAAACAAAATTGCTTGAAGCAGGGTCAGCTTAGTGCTTCACAGTTTGACTGCTTCTCTAAGAGGAGCCCTTCCTGCGCACGTGCACTCAAAAATCACAAAAAAAGTACAAAGACAAACACCTAAAACACACTGCGTCAAGTGCAGCACCGACTTTGGTCAAATAAAAAAAATAAAAGAAAAATTAATAATCGCTAAGCTTTTCTACACGATATAAGCAGGTATTGCATATTTTCATATATCTGGGGGAAAATAAAGGAAGACTCCAAATAAATTGTAAAATGCAGCAACATCCAAAATACTGATATTCTAAGCATCTACAGATCTCAGAATAGCACTGCCACTGACCACAGAGGACAATAAAGACTACTCCTATCTGCGGAACAACTAACTTTCTATTTAGTTCTAGATGTTGAAACTGACAATGGCTGACATAAAAGTCACATTTACAAAAAGTGTCTCCAAATGCTTGACTAGGGAAAAACCCCTTTCAATAGAGGAGCATGTGCAACAATTCCACAAATAATCGCTATCCAGGGCAAGGCACATTGATATGGAATTTTTGTTTTCGTGCAAATTAAGGAAAAAAAACAAAACAAAACAACATTGTCTGGGGGGAAAGATGAGGAGCAAAGTGTCTTCCCAAGAATTTCAGTTACTTGATTGTATAGGACAGTAGTAGAACCCTTCTGAAGGGCTGAAAAACATAGTTTAAAGGCAAGTGCCTAGAGTAGGGATTACAATATTGTGTCTTAATGCACTCTACTTTATTCTACATTAACTATATAAAAATTAGTTACTAACACTAGAACATGCAGAGACTTTCTCTGATCAGCAGGGCTTGCCAACCAGAACGTATATATATGTATAGTATAGGAAATCTTCTTGAAGTTGCATGGGAAGCAAAGGGGTGCTTCACTGTCTGGTAGAAAAATCACTTGCACTTTTTTTTGTTATTTTTTGTTATTTTTTTGTGGTTTTTTTTTTACATAAGATACAGGACATTTGGGGGTGCAAACTTTTTTTCCCTAACAAGTACCCTTGATCTGAACGGGCACCGCATGTGTGTCAGTATTGGTTTCATCATCATCATCATCATCATCATCATCATCATTATTTTTTCCCATAGCCCAGTTGAGGGGCGCAAAGGTCTTTAAAATTTCTGGACAATCTCTGGTACAATGAAGTGTCTGATAATTGATAAATCCTATGTTGCCGGATACATGTAAAATTTTTCAGAATTGGCATAATCCATTATAGTGACTTCTAGCTTATAAAATTAACAGATACCATGATTTCATTTTAGTTATGTGCTTTGATAACAGAAAATAATTAATTAGCATTTAATGTAGTTAACATATTGTGGTAAAAGCACCATTAGATTTGTTTTTTTGTTTTTTTTTTAAATTTTCCTTCAGTTTTTAAAGGGATACAAGTTTAACAATAAAAAACATAAAAAGCAAAAATAGCTCCCCTTTTTCTTGCAAGGCTGTTTTTTACCCCAATAATTTAGAGTCCTGGGGTGGAAGGACTTGAAAAACAAAAATAGAATTTTCAACAATCTCTATCTTACAAAGATATTTAGCTATCCAATGAAATTGCACTTTACTCAATTCAAAATTCGATTGTTTTGATTGATTCCTGTCAGTTTGTGTCAAAACAGACCATCTTCCCCATTTCCATGTGAATTTGTGTGTCATTGTTGAAATTGTTGAAAAAATGTTTTTTTTTTTAATGTAAGTGCAGCATTTCAAAACTTTTAAAAAACTGAAGAGTAGTAGTAGTAGTTTGCCATTTTCGGAATTGTTCTGCAACGTGAGTGGGTTCACTGTCCTTGAGGGCCATGTTATAGATTGAACTGCTGACTGCTGAACCAAACCAAGCTAAAAGAAAAAATAAAAAAGGAACATAACTGCATTTTCTTTTTCCAATATGTTACAGAAAAACATTGCCCTTTGACTGTCCCGTAAGTTATATATTGCAGATCTCAGCTACTACAAAAGATTTAGTTCTCCATGTGCCTCCTGATTGCTCGAGGAGGCTTACACCTGTGTGGGTAAATTCATGAAATACTGTGAAACAGCCAGGCTCCGTAAGGAAAGTGTGTTACAGGAAGTCAGTGAGCAAGGGCAGATCTCCTCTAGCCATCTCACCTAATGCTCACGCTGCCACGAAAACACTTCGAGTATTACAAAGCCCAACCATTTCCAGCACCATATGAGAAAATTACAACAGTCCCTAAAGTAGTTTAAAAAAAAATCCCAAAAGGTTATGGCCTTTGCTGTTTGACCATAATGCTTGCTGTTTCCATGTACAAGTTGATTTGATTCTCCCCTTCCACTGACAGTGAAGTTGTAACCGCGCTGGGTTGAGGATGCGTCCATGTTACAGAGTTGAGAAGGGGTCAGGTGGTCTGTCTGGTGGATGGTGGGACGCTGAGACTTTTATCCCAGGTACCAGGACTGGAAGAGAAGAGACACAGGGCAGTTAGTGGTATAACTTAGAAAATGGTATATTTAGAAGTTGTCCTTCCAATTGTGAAATCAGGATCTATGTTAGGTATAAAGCAGGGATTCACTGGGAAAAGTAAAGGAATAACACAGAGTAGTAAATCTTGAGACACTGAAATGGACCTTACTCCTCTAAAACTGAAATTCAGTGTCTTCATTGGGGGTTGCTGAGTTCTGAGTGTGCCTTACAAGATAAAGTATGGATGTCCACTTGGAACACATATACAGGTTTTATAGTTTGGTGAGAGCTGCAATAGGAGGGCAGGAAACTGGATCATCTGTTTTTTCAGCAAATCCTCAGTGCCCAGTACAGTGCCTGCAATGGACGGTTCTTGACAGAGTAGAGCTGACTGACTGAAGAATGGATGAGGGGAGAGGTTTCATGTGGTAAAGCCTCCTTTGATGATTTTCACAACATTCCTATTCATTGAGATGTAGGCACTGAAGATGTTATTGCTGCATTCTCTTAAGAGGCACAGAGAGTTAACAGTGATACAAGAACAATGAGAACAATGAACTCCTTTATGCACCCCTATGTTCTTTGCTGCATCATCTACAACAGCCAAGATATGGAAGCAACCCAAGTGCCCATCAATACACAAATGGGTGAAAAAACTGTGGTACATATATACAATGGAATATTGCTCAGACATTAAAAAAAAAACAAGATCTTACCATTTGCGACAGTGTGGATGGACCTAGAGGGTATTACGTTCATTGAAATTAAGTCAGTCAAAGACAAATACCAAATGATTTCACTTATGTGTGCAATCTAAATAAAATAAATGAACAAACAAAACTGAAACAGACTCATAGACAAGAGAGCAGACTAGTGGGTGCCAGAGGGAGGGGGGTGGGGGCACTGGGTGAACAAGCTAAAGGGATTAATGAGTACAGACTGGTAGTTACAAACAGGCACGGGGATGTAAAGAACAGAACCCAAATATGGTTGATAGTATGGTTATAACGATGTGCGGTGCCAGGTGGGCACTGGAAATATCGGGGGAACACTTTGTAAACCTGACACCAATACAAAATAACATTGAAGGTAAACTTTAATTGAAAAGAAAAAGGATAGTGATATAAAAATAAGTGAAGGTAAAGTGGAAAAACTGGGTACCAAGAGTCCCGGGTAGTTTTGGACAAGTCACAGCGTCTGTCTTATACTCAGTTTCCTCATATGTGCATGTGGTAGATTTTATGATGTAAAATATTCCTTTCAGCTCAACATTTCTAAAACAGTGTTTTCAAAAAGTGACATATAATAATCAAGTGGTATCAACATTTCACTCTATTAGCTACCATGATGTGCCAAGGGAAAAAACCCTCAGTCATGTTTTTGTTCATTCAACATTTTTTTTAGAGCCTTCCATATGCCTGCTGGGCCCAGTTAACATTTCCTTTCATAAATCTTAGCTAGGTGGTTGTGGGCAATGGCCTGGTTACACCTCAAATTATATGCTGGCATATCTTTCTCTATTTACTAAACAAAGTGACCAATTATGTTTTAATATCAGGGTGAGTTTCTCAAGTGAAATAAAAAAGGGGATGTCTTTGCCAACTCTTCTCTAGAGATACCCTGTCAAGCTCACCACATTTATCATTACTCAGAGAAAACTCTTCCACTTCTAGCGAAAGTGAATGCTTCTAAAATCTCTGAGTTGACAGTATCAAGAAAGGGTTACATTTGGGTTGATTCAGTTTGATGAAGGCTCATTCGTATCCAAGAGATTCAATTAGGTAAGCTAAGGACTTGTTTGATCCCCAGGATAAGTGGTGAAACGATAGCTACCTGGAGGTTGGTATAAGATTTCCTGGTCACACAAGCCACCTTTGATTTCCAGAGGACTTGAAAAAACCTAAACCTAAACTGAAAAACTACTCATCTTGTGTACTTTCAGATGTTATTCTTTGACCACATGCTTTGAGGAAGACAATAAAGTGTCTTGTGTCCTGAAAGGAAATCAACCTGGCAAAGGCACACGGCCTAAATCTAACGGGACAAAAGAACGAAGAAGGAGAAAGGAAAGAGAAAGGAGGCAAACTCCAAACGGCGTTTTTAGCAGGCTCTCTGAAGAGCTGACTCCGATGCACCTTAGAGCTGAGTTCTCTCTTTGACAAAACAGCCTCGAGCTTTGGGCGCCACGAATAACGTATACAATTTCTGTTTTCGCACTTTCTAAGTCAGTTGTGAAATTCTGAACTTAAATCTGACACTGCGTTGGTAGTTCTTGAAGCAAAGGCCTGGGACCCAGTGAGTCAGCAGGGGGAGCAGTTTTCCATACAACAGCTTCTGGACACAACCTCAGCGCACTACAAAAATCTGCAGTGCCTCTGCACTTCTCTTAAAAAGCAAAGTGGAAAAAAAAAGTTTCTTCACACATCTTACTATTCAGTGTGCCTTGCCGACAAGGTTACCCCAGAGCAGCTCTGTAATCCTTCACTGAAATAGGCTTTATTGATTGCTCTGGTCTATTGTTCTCTTTTCAAGTCCCCCAAGTTCAAGTTCATCCTAGTGTTACATCATGTCTGGTTGCTAACAGCAACCAGACAGACCCAGACGTGACTATCATTAGCAAGAAACCCTCTGCTCTCCTCCCACCAACCTTCCAGTGGCTCTGACGTAGCAGGCCCACTGCAAACACATTGAAGTATTTATTCTGCCTAATTTATGACCTACACAGCAAGCGAGACCCCCACTCCAAAAACCAACACTGTTGTATATTTAATTAATCTGTCTTTCTCTGGCACTTGGGAAAGTTAGACAAAGGACTAATTATGGTGTTTCACTCTCCACACTTTTCTTTTGGGGGGGTGAATATTTGCATGGGAAAGAAAACTACAAGGCCCAGCACTGGCCCCCCTCCCACCCCTTTTTCTTTTTGCCCTATTGACATTTCATGAAATACTTTAGCTGCTTAAGGGAATTAGAAAAAAAAAATGCGATGTGAATGTTACTCCTTTTGAGTTGGTATTCAGTAACACAAATCAACTCATGACATGTTTAAATTTAAATGCTAACCACACACTCTCAGAGTTACTTTAAAGGTTAGTTTTTAATCAATAGAAGTTGCTGACTCTGGGTTTTTGAGCTGCGCACTGCAGCTCTTGGGCTTTTGTCTAACGTTAAAGCTTTCAAACTTTTTTTTTCCTTGAGATGATTTGAGCAATGATTTGCAGACACAGAAGGCTATTGTGCTCAGACCAGCAACATGTCAATAGAGGGGCGAGTTACCCTGTGGTGGGGTGTCGGTATGACTCCTGAAGGCTTGGGTTGGGGGTCTTTAATAACCCGTGAAAAAAACTTAATTAACTCTTTCAGGCCCAAACCAAAACCTATTCTTATACTTTTCCACTCCTGTAGTTTGACCATTAGTACTTATTTCACCATCACACTAATCTTCATGACAATTAACCCAGCTACTTGACCAAACCTTTACAGAACAGGAAGCCAATCCGTTAGGGGAACCACACAGGGAATTTTTTTTTTTTTTTTGAATGAAGTCTCTTTGATTGAATCATTAATTTGCAGAGATAGCAGGTAAACAGTAATGATAATAATAAATATTTTTTTGCAGCCGAAGACACTCCTCATTCTGTTATAGGAGTGTGACAGTTGCATATTTACAAGTCACTCAATTTCTATAAACTTCCATGATTGGAAAAACCCATTTTTCCCTTGTGACATTCTCTTATAAAATTTATTATGCAAGCAGTGCAAGTTTGAGAACATTCCTTGAAGAACAGTTCTGAGCACTTTCTTCTTGGGTCATACAAGAAAAGTATAAAATAAATCTGAGGTTGTTAAATCGTGGGGGTTGAGTAGCATATCACTAGGAAAATGTTGCCACATTAAACAAAATTCATTTATGGAGAGTCAAAAAATTGTCTTCAGCCGTTTACTGACTTAAGCTTAGGTTTCATATGGTTTCTGCCTTCATACTTTATAGCCCCTTAATCTAACCTACTGTATCCAGATGGACTACAAAGGATTCTCTGTCCCTTATCTGCAGTGAGTTCCAATATTACAATACAATATAGGATGATGTTATCTTGATACATTTACATTAAGGAAGTAAACACAGGGCTTTGATCTATTTTTTCCTCAGTAACATTCAGCTACAGTTGTTTAGGAGGTCCATAAATCCACACTCCCACAAAGGCTCTAGTTAAGTAAAATTGCTCTGTTACATTCACAATTTCTACAGTTTGGGATGTGCTGGGGGGAGGGAAGGGGGTAATTGTCCTCTCTCAGTGTTCAAGGTGAAACATCAAAAGAAATCTGCAGTCCAGGACCAGAGCTCAGCTTTCCTTTTCTCCAGTCAAATGAAGAAGTAATCTCATCAGGTTGGAAAGTGCTGACTAAGGATTTAATAAAGTGCCTGCAGATGTGGCGTCTCTAAGGTATTCAACTCATGTAATGCAAAACAGCTCCACGCTGAATGTGCTTATAAAATTTCATTTAACCATTGCAGCACGACTTTTTTTTTTTCACTGTTCTCTAAGGAGTTTTATCACACTTCCCGCCCCTTAATTTACAGCTCCATGAAAGTTTGAATCCCATTCTGCCAGGATTCTGGAATACTCACAGTAGTCAGGTTTTTATGAACCATAAACAAAAATCTATCCTGCTGCATCTGAAACAGGAAGCCTGAAATGGCAGTAGGTACCTTTGACAGTGGCTGTCACTTTCCTTTCTTGTGACACATGAAGAGCAATTAGGAAACTGAGGCTATTTTCCACACTTTGGTCAGGAGGTTGCCGAAGAGCTGGTTGAGGAAGACTCACCTCCTTAGTAACAACAAACATTCAAATAACAACTTTTTAAAAGGCCTGTCATAAGCCCTTTTCACTCAGAGGGCCGGATGTATATTTTAGCAAGAAAAGGAAATACAAGTCTGTTTGAGATAGCTATATTTTACTTTAACCAAAAAAAAAAAAAAAAAAAAAAA